AGTACCTTACTGTTTTTATGACTATGGCTCTGTAGTATACTTTGAGATCTGGTATAGTAATCCCCACAGCGTTGCTCTTTGTGCTCAGGGTTGCTTTGGCTATCTGGTGTCTTTTGTACCTCCATATGAATTTAAGGAATTTTTTTTCTAGTTCTGTGAAGTATGTCATGGGGATTTTAATTGGGATTGCATTGAATCTATATATTGCTTTTTGTAGGATGATCATATTAACAATATTAATTCTTCCAATCCATGAACATGGGAGGTCCTTCCCTCTCCTGGTGTCTTCCTTTCCAGCTTTAGTCAGAAGTAGTCTATTACTATCTCTTCACTATTTGACCTTGATTTGGGACAAAACTGTCCTTAGCCCTTTGTATTTTTTTTCATAATGTACTTTTCATGGAATTTTAAAAAAAGGATGAAAAAGTTTCATAATGCTAATTTCAAAAAAGCAGCAAAATACTGGTTTTGAAAACATATCTTGAACCCATCTGTGATGAAAGTTACCTTATCACTCAAGCCCCTCCACTCGTCCACTGTGTCCTCTAGAATCTTTTCCTGGTCCTGAGCCACAGCACGGAGACATGTCCAGCGCTGCCAGACAGTGGTTTGTCTGGTTCCTAATTTTAATGGGAATGCTTCCAATTTTTCTCCATTTAGAATGATATTGGTTGTGGGTTTGTTGTATATGGCCTTATTATGTTGAGGTATGTCCCTCCAGTCCAATTCCTTCTAGGACTTTGAACATAAATGCATGCTGAATTTTGTCAAAACCTTTTCATCTATTGAGATGACAGTGTGGTCTTTGAGTCCATTTATTTGATTAATGATGTTTATTGGCTTGTGTATATTGAACCATCCCTGCATCTCTGGGATAAAGCCTACTTGATCATGGTGAACGATCTTTTTGATGTGTGTCTGTATGTGGTTTGCAAGTATTTTGTTGAGAATTTTTGCATTTTTGTTCATTAAGGATATGGGTCTACAGTTTTCTTTTTTGGTTGTGTCTTTACGAGTTTGGGTATTAGAGTGATACTGGCTTCATAGAAAGAATTTGGGAGTTCTCCCTCTGCCCCTATTTATTTTTTTGAAACAAGGTCTCACTATGTGGACCAATCTGGACTTGAACAGAGATCTTGCCTCTGGGTTCCAGAGTGCTGGGATTAAAGTCATCCACCACCACACCCAGCTACTTTCCAAAA